TTGATTTGCATACCGGCTATGCCGCATTCAACCAAGCCACCCCTTTTCCTCACACCTGCATGTACTCAAAATCACCCTCAGCGACCCCTCAATCAGCTTGACCCTCACTCGAAGACACCCCTTATCAAAATAAGCACGCATGTGTGCGCATCGCAATTTTGTCATCTATTAAAACCACTTTTTTCGAAAATATATATCCGCTGACTATTTTTCTTCTTCTGCTGCGTTTTTTTACACGTGACATATCATGCGGCCGCGGACAAAGCTGTCGAGTCATAACCCGCGTATTAATATTCCCCTGTAGAGTGGATTTTAAATCCGAGATGAGTATTATTTATATTTTATCTCACGGTTCTTTGCTAACCATAAATCTTTAAGGTAATCCACGCATTTTTTTTCTCCAGTCGTTTGCGTCATCAGGTTCTTAGAAATTAATAATTATCATTTTAATAATTACTGCAAAAGCATAATATATTTGATAATAATATTATTAATGTATTTTTCAGTGGAAACACTTGTTATTAAAATTAAAATTTTAAAAATATGTAATTAAATTTTTTTAACACAAAGAAAAAAAAACATTATAACTTTCAATATTTTTACGTTTTTTTTCTTGATTTTATTTTATTTAATAACTATTTCCTTTGCTAAATTTTTTTTACATTTAATTATTTTTAAAATTATTTCAAGGATAATTATGGAGAATAATATAGTCAAATCTTAATAGAATTTTAAAATAAAAATTGATTGATTTTGCTCCAAATTCAATGATGAATTTCTTGATAATCAAATTTAACTAAAGTATTGTCAAATTTATTAATTCATGTATTGTTTTAATTATTATGTCATATAATTAAACATCAACTCAATGCACCTTTAGTAAATGGAAAAAATTATGTATTAGGACCGAAAATTAAAACAAATTTAAATTGATTTTTAACACGTTTTCTGCTCATTTATACAAGTTTTCTTTTTCATTGTTTTTTTTGGGTTTTTTGTAAAGACTAGCGTTTGAGTAAGAATAAACAATTTTAATTCATAAAATTGTTTACACAAGGAAACTATCAAAAATAACGGACTCCCTCTGTTTAAATTTTTTCAGCTATAGCATAACATGCAAGTATAGTTTCGAGAAATTTCCAGTACTCGCCCAGACACTGACGCGATTTTTTATAAAATATTTCCACCCCATGCCGAGCGAGCGTGAATGTCGATTAGAAAAATAAAAATCGGTGGACATGCACGTCGGGCAGGAGTGTTTTCGGTCGTTACTCGTCTTCTTATTATGAAACGAGGAAATATTAGTGCATTTTCCCAGGCTGGGGGACGCGGCGTCTCGGAATGCGCATTTGCATTTCGCATCGATTTTCGAAGGGGTTGAATCCGAACGAGTGACCAGTTTGACGCGATAAATCGGAGAAAAAAGCAGCGCTGACCCCCTCAAAAGTTAAAATGCGCGTCCGGCTTAAGGGGTTGGATAAATAGAGAGGGCGACGCGCATCGAAGGGTTGTTCACGTCATTAGACTGACCAGGGGGATTAAAATCAGGTTCTCTGCAATTAATGATCGGATTTTCGTGGGAGCCGCTGGGGTGAATATCCAAACCACTTTTCACCCCTGCCCAGCACCGATAAAATATATACCCCTCTGATTTATTTTCTTGGGAATGACCACACCGGCGAGACGAGAACCAACCCTTTCTCGCGCCGATCACCCCAAAATATTGTGTGACTGTCCAAAGTTTTTCGCTCACCCCATCGCAACAGGTGACAAAACATACAAAAATAATTCCGTCGGCCGTTACCCGGCCGCCGATCGCTCAGAATAAAAAAGCTGCTTCCAAATCAAGGGTCCGTATTATTTTTTAACATTTTTCACCAGTTTTACAGGAACGAGTTTTTTTACAGGAATTATTCACATTTATTGCACTTTATTTGTATCCGCCAAAGAAACCGTTTGCGGTAGGGGAAATTTTCCAACCTGATGAGCACACAGCTGCTTTTTTTAATTTTCCACGTGATTTATCATTTATTAGCAAAAATTTTCATCTGGAAAACGCATAATTATACAGTTAAAGATATATTTGTATGTCTTTCATATAGGTTCACACAGAAAATGTTAAACTAATAGATCTTTTAAAAATGAAAAATTTACGCTAAAGAATATGTCTAGTATTTAGAGATTTTGCTGCACCTGGGAATAAAGTACATTAGGAAAATTGAGATTCATAAGCCGTACATTCAACGCAAGCACACGCAATTTTTTGCGCTTCTTGCTATAGTGTCGCGGCGCACTCGGAATTCGATCAGAGCGAGTCGTCAGAGAATTCTTTATACTCGAAGTAGTCTCGCGGCGTCGTCGCGCGGGAGAAAAAGTGCATGCGGTATATCGAGTGCAGCACCAGATGAAAAATAAATAATAAAATAATTTCGTGCTGCAGCGAAAAGTGGACGGCGGGCGGATCAAGTGCCAGACCTGAATGCGCGCACATGCAGGATCCAGTAAAACAACAGACGGTGGGCAAAAAACAAAGGCCCTTGGTATAAATAAGTGCGTCAAATGCACTGTGCGCGGCTCGTCGTCGTCGCGCGAGACTTATAAAGAAATCGTCGCCGGCTCATTTGTTGCTCGGCCGCGATCATGAGAGAGTCAGCGATGAGCAAAAAGCGGCACTGCATTCGTTTTACTTATTTTATTTGCTGCTTATTATGTGCTTCGATGAATGCAGTCCGGCTGACGATCGAGAAACAAGAGCTGCAGCATGGGACAAAACACATTCATTTCTTCCGAGCATTCTCTTGCGCACGATTTAATTCAACTTCTTTTTCAATTTAATTTAATTAATCTCTTAGAAGAATTTCATCTCAAATCTGATTTAAAATCAAATCAAGATTTTTTAACAAATTTAATCTCCATTAGCTTGTTGGTTTAAAAATTAACATTGAAAAATTATGGGTTGTTTATATAAGAATCAACAATAAAATTGATTCTTGCATAACCGCAAAATGAGATATATTATGAAATTTTAAAAAGAAAAACTCAAAATTTTTGTTTTATTTCTGTATGTGATCTCATATAGGGTATGTCTATATTATTTATTGATTTTACCCTGAATTACAAAATTTAATGTGTGTGCAGTTGCGGTGCAATAAAATAAAATTAATAAATGTGGAATTGCTTGATTGAATACATTTTGCTCTCTTTATTCTTGGGCTGCAGTTCTCAGAAGTTACTCAAGCTATTACGTATGTATATTGTGAAATTCTGATATTATTTTCAGAATTAAACGCTTGTAATGTATTTTGCAAGAAAAAATTAAAGCAATTTTCGTCAGGTCCTTGTTAATTAACTTATAGATGCATGGTGCCAATTGTAAATTTTTGCAGGAACTTGCAGTTTCTACAGAATTATTATGTAATTTATAATAATTCATTTAAATAAGCTTCAAGCTGGTAGATCTTAAATGAATTAATTCTAATTTACTTTCACTTTAAACCGCTTGGTCCTAAAGCGCGCTAATTTTAGCCTTTTAAATTATATGAAGGTTTTATCTTCAGTTTTTTGCGTCAATCTGTGAAAATTTAACTCGCCTTTTGTACGTCATCCTGTATAACCTGCGCATAAGTATAAAGTGGCTCTGTGTGCGTCACTTCGAGCTGAGAGGTTCCTCTTATCTCTAAATTTAGCTCAAAACAGGGATTTTAGACCTTGGACACAATCATTTAATTGGTGTGAAGAAAGGTGTTTGACATAAATACTAAAATTAAAAGTCAAAAATAAAAAAAGTCTCAGTTAGGTCATTCTTTTCTTTCTCATATTCCTGGTTGGCTGTTAGGATTGTGACTGCTTCGGAAAAGTTGTAATTTATTTTAAAGAGGAGCCATAGGCCATAGTTTTTCTTTTTATGTAATTTTTACTCTTCATATCAGGAATTATATGATGATGATCAAATCTTCACATAGAATTCACAAATATCACAAAATATGAATTTATTAAATTGCAAAATTTGAATTCAATTTTCAGTGATATTTGAGCAGAATATAAAATTACTTTAAAAAAAGAGCACAAAATTATAAAAATCCCTCCTATATAATTATTGCGCCCTTTTCCATGCAATTAAATATAGATAAAATTATTTAAACTCTATTCTAATGATTAAAGAAGAATCTTTTTTTCATTTGCACTATAATTATGCTCTTCGAATAATTTTATTGATTGCAAATTATTTCAAATTTATATAAATGTTTGCAGCTCAATCAGATTTCTGAAGAAATTAACAAGCAGAGAGAGCAGAATGACCAGTGCTTTGCTTGTTATAAAACAGCGTCCACTGAAGTCAACATTCAGCATATATTTTATGTTATTTGTTGTATCTGAGAAATTAAGGTACACACACCGATAAATATTTTTACTTGTTTTGCGAGTATTAGTACGTGCCTCGACTCAAGAACGGAGGAGTAAAAAAAACGTGGACACTCCAGAAAGAATAAAGAAATGCATCAGCCAGAGCAGAGAGAAACGCGCGCTGCTGCAATAGAGTCCCGTCTCCGCTGCAGTTAGTGGCCGGCAAGAGACGTGCTGCTCAATGGCGGCTTATTTATTTCCAGTGCATTTTATTTAACCTTGCAAGCAGCAGTTCCACTTTTTTGCCACTGCCATTCTCAAACCCGATTTTCTCTTTGTTTTGCTTGTTGCCTCACTTTGTGAAGATTCCAAGAAAATTAACAAAAGCTGCATTGGGGCTGATGTTGAAATTAAAACTGTAGGGCCAATATCCAATTGCATAAAAAATATAACCAAAAACAATATACAAGTGCTGCAAGAGCTACAAAATTTTTAAATTTTAGGGGTTTTTTCATGGCTTTTTTTCTGTAAATTGATTGTTAAAAAAAATAGATAGGAATGACTTCAACACAGATATTAATTATCAATAGACTCTTCCAAAACAAAACAGTCTGTCAATGTAGGTAAAAATGATATAAAATTGATAAACATGACTCTTCATTTTCAAAAACCATAGCATTTACTTATGTAATTTAATTAATTACTTCTCATGAATTATAATAATAAAGAAATACAGTGTACAGACTGCTCAAGGGAATCCGTCTTCATCCTCTTCAGCCATTTCTTTTGCCAGCTCCATGTCCTGCTGCTCTCGTTCTCTCCTCTCCTGCAAAACAATGGAAATTGAGCACTTATATTTTTTTAATTAAAGCAAGAAGTACCTCTGCCGACTCCAGATCTTTATTGTAGGCCTTTGGCGGGTACCGCATGGCCTTGACGCTCTGGTTGTGGATGTTGAGGCAGAAGGCAATGCGTTGGTGGAAGGCAAGTTGCGGCTCCCTTGTGCAGTACACGTCGGACGTCTCCTTGGAGCGCATGTAGCCCTTTTCATGGTCCAAGCTTGCCTCAATCACTCCGTCTCTGATAGCCTGAAGAAGAAAAAAACAATAAATTTTTGTAAATCTTTGAAAAAAACTGTTTTTGTTAACCTTTGCGATGATAAACTCTGCCTCCTCTGGTGACTCAAGCATCAGTTTCTTAGTGATGTCCACAAGAGAGATGCGAGAGTATGAGAGGCCAATGGCCCTGACTGCAGTCTTGATGACGTTGTGCCGGAGGCGAAGGATCAGGGTGTAAGTGTGATCCCGTTGGAAAAGTGATCCATAGTTTTTGAGTCCGTCCTCAAAACGCTTGAGGTCACCCAGACGAACAGCTGGAATTTGGAAGTTTGATTTAATTCCCAGTATAATTAAATTTTAAATTTTATTACCTTGTGTAAGTTGGAAATAGGGAATTAGAGCTCTTCTCATTGAGCTATGCCTGAAGATTTGACGTTCAGGAATGTCACCAAGCAGCAGCTCTACAGTGACGGCTAGTTTTTGCACCTAAATTTAGTAATAAAAAATGGTTTGCAATCATTGTTTTTGAAAACTTTACTGAACTTAACTATAACATTTTTCAATTGTATAGGAAATGAATGAATCTTAAATTTACAGAATGTTTTTTTCAATATTTATTTTAAATTATTATTTTCCTAATTTAATAATGAATTTATAATAAATAAAAGCTTACAGTTTGCTTGAATCCAACAGCAGTGTGCTGTGGAGCCTTCCTTATGGCCTGCAGAAGGTGCTTGTGAGCAGCCGAGTACTCAAGCTGGATGGCCTTGATTCTGCCAAGATAGTAAAAGTGTCGGGCCCACTCATTGTTGCTTGCCAATTCAGGAAAGACAGACTTGGACACAAGTTTGTCTGCCTGATCGTAGAGGTGGTAGTTCAAGTAGTTGCGCAACAAGCAGTTGATCAACACAGCCTGGCCTTCAAAGTCGTTGCGAAGAGTTGCAGTTCGCAGGCGAGAATGGAGAAATCTATAAATTTCAATCAATATAAAAAAAATTAACTCATTTCTGTTTATATTTACCCTCTGATTTGGTTTAGCTGGTTGGTGAGTTCGTAAGCACGGCTGTGGTAATAGTAGCACTTGGCAGCAATTAGGTCGATGGTCCGCCTGTTTTGTGATGCGATTTTGTTCATGAGGAGGCCTGTTTCAAAATAAGATTTAATGTGTGCATAGCAGAAGAGCTTCATGTTTTACAAGAACATTGGACGGCCTCATCATTCCTCTTTGTGTCAAGCAGTCTGATCAGTACGAGCAAGTGGATGTAAGTATCGACTTCAGTCAGCAAAGGTGTGCTGGACGTTTTCGAGCTGCGCATCCTCACAGTTGTCGGTGTGTCACTTTCAGAACTCTGGAATTATAATTTGTTATAATTTAAAATGAGTATTTATTTGATCAATCTGCTGCAAACTGCTGCAGTGATTTAATTACTATTAAAAATGAATTTAATTATGTCAATCTGAAAATCAGTATCTCATTAAAATTCAAATTCTGATTACGAAAAGCCTATACGAGATTTTTATGTCTTGCATCACGATTACAAAATTCTTTACTCTTACCAAAAATGGTTTAGGATAGAACTTATTTTTGAAAAAATGCTACTTCCATAACATATTTTATTTTACTTTACACTTATTCAAGAGTTATATTGCTACTTCATGACAAGGGAACATATCTATCTAAATTGCCTGGAACTTACTTCTTCTACATAAGCCAAAAGTGCATCTCTCTCCTGAGCAGAGTGAGTGAAGTAGCCGTTGATGAGTTTTCTGAGGACGTTGCCGTTCAACCTGCGCCTGGTGTTTGGAAGTGACCTGAGCACCCGGAGGATAAACCTCTGCTCCTTGTTGTGCACAGCCTTTTCAATCTGCCTGGCATGCTCACGAATTTCTGTTGAATGAAGAACGAAAATTAATAGTTAAAAAGTACATAAATTTTGGGTCAAAATTTTTAATTGTTTGCTGTTTTCATACCTTCGATCGCGGCCAAATCAGAGTCCTTCTTCTGTTCGGCGGGATCAACCTCTGCAGGACTGTCTGCGTCTTTCATTTCTACATCCTGGACTGTCGGAGGGGCCATTTTCCCCTGAAAAAGGTCCAAAATTGTGAAAAACCGGTCACCACACTAAACAACGCGCTGAAACAAGTGTGGCTTTTTGCAAGAATTTTTCACTCAATTCGATGGAATTAATGAATCGGTCAAAACATTTGCTAGTCAGAGTATTAATAACAACTCACTTACCAGTTTAAATTAAACCGCAGGGCCAAATTAGCGTAAAAGTCGGCTGATTTTGCGATGGATCGTGTGTTTTTGCTTGTGCTGTGTCACTGGCTGAGGGATGCCTTCGATAAAATTAAATTCTCGAGTTTGGTATGCGCAGAACGAAAAGTTATGATCTGCGCAACATTTTCAAATTCTTACAAGCATTCCTACGATTGCGCATGCGGAATAACGGAATGTATTCGTGAGAAGTGAAGTGAGAAGAAAACACAACATTCGACATTCAACATTTCTGTCAAGTTTCGTAGGAGTGGTTACACGTTAATTTTTCAATTTTTCTACAACCTTACGAGGTTATGAAATCAGGATTTGGAAGGCCTAATGGGCCATAATAGAATTTCACCCGTTCAAGAGCAAATCAGTCAGGTAAGTTAGTAAAATTCACAAAATCTATGTGTTGTCACTTTGCATTGGTGGTTTTTATTGCTTTCTGTTTTCCTGTTCCACTTTACCTGGGTATTTTTTTTGTTGTGTCTGCATGACTTGTTGCTTAATTTGAGCACTGCAGTTTTTGAGATGGCTGAAAAATAAACTAGTCATTATATTGGTTTCAAATTAAAATTTGAACAATTTTTTCATCAGCTAACGAATACATAGAATAATGTGTTAAATTGGAATTTTAAGTAAGCCAGCTAACGGTTCAAATTATATATGCATTAAGCAGCATTAATCATTTTAAGTGCAATTGCGTGCGCAACACGTTTTCTCATTTAATTGTGACAATGGTGTTTGTATGTAGTTTTACGTTTGTTGCATGGTACCAGGTATGCAGTAATTCAGCTTAATTTTTTCAAAATGTCATAAATTTAAGTTATTTTCAATTGAAATATCGAAATGAAATATGTATATATAAAAAAAATTGCATTTTCATTTGCCATATTATTTTTTTTTTAAAAACTAATGGAATTATTTTAATGATTTAATCTAAAATTAACAATTCTTTTTTAATTTTCTAGATAAAAAATATGGGCACTCCCGTTTCAATGAGGTTACGACGGCTGGGCGTCCTGGTTTGGAAGAACAGTGTTCTTGTTCGCAAGAGGCACTGGTTTCTTACTCTGTTGGAGACCCTGTTGCCGCTGATACTTTTCGCCATCGTTGCCTTCATCAGGGCCAACTCTGCATCCCTGGGTACCAAGCAAGTTGACAGCACCACCTGGTTCCATGAATACAGTCAGCTTGATTTGCGAAGAGATTTTCGAGACAAGCACATCTTGTTTGCGCCTGAAAACAACTTCACCAAGAGACTGATGGAAAGGGCCAAAATATTTGGAGACATTCCTGGTATCAAATAATATTTTTTCCCCTTTCGTCTATTTCTAATATTTCCCTGTGCAAAATTTAGACGTGGAAGGTATGAAGTCAGAAGTTGCCATGCTGGTCAGACTGAGCGCCTTAGCGAATGAAACTCGTCGACGCTACCACGGAAGCAGTGTTGACTGCATTGTTTTTCAAGGCAAGGCTACAGAATCTCTTGGCAGCAAAGTGCCCAAAAAGTTAGAGTACAAGATCCGAGTGAAAGAAAATTTTAAAACGGAGCACCTTTTCAATACCATCTCCGTTGGACCGGACATTTATCGATCTTGTAGGCATTTATTCCCTTTTAATTAAATACAAATAAAGTTTACTTTGTTTTCCTGTAGACCCTTACCATGAATCCGGATTTCTCGGGCTGCAGCTGATCATCAACAAGGCATTTATTGAGCTTGCTCAAAGTTACGAGCACAGTTCAACACCTGAAGACATCCAAGACCAAGTTTGCTATTAATTTTTTCTCATACTACACTAAAGACAAAATTTTTAGATGTTCCTCCAAGCAATGCCCTATCCTCCCTACATGGACGACAATGGATACGCAGCTGCTGTTAAAACTTTGCTTCCTTTCCTCTCCATGTTCAGTTTCATCATTTTGTGCACCACTGTCACCAAGAGGGTGGTTGAAGAAAAACAATCTGGGGCTAAGGTGACTATATATTTCAATAAAAAAAATAAATTTTAAAGTACTTTTAAAATTTAGGAATTGATGAAGCTGATGGGAATGGAGAAATGGGCTTTCTGGGTAGGCTGGATGATTGATGCCCTGCTTGTTCGGGTTGTGACCATCATTCTGATTGTTTGGCTCTTGGTCACGGCTTTTGACGAAGCTTCAGGCGCTGTCTTAAACGAATCAAGTCCCACTTTGCTGTTTGTTCTTCTGATGATGTACTGCGCCAGCTCCGTGACTTTACTCTTTGCTATCAGCACCTTCTTCTCAAGACGTAATTGATATTTAAAAAAACATTAAAACAAAAAAATTAATAATAACTGCATTTTTCAGCTGTCATTGCAATGACCGTCAGCTTTGTCATTTGGTTTGCAAGCCTCGTCATCCCTATGCAATATGTAGAGGAGAAAAATCCAGGGTTTTACACAAAAATGCTCTTTAACATTTTCCCCAACATGGGCTTGATGTTCACATTTGATTCTGTGTTGAATCATGAAAAGAGAGGTAATTAATTTATTTAAAAAATTTCATTTTGCTAATTTTATTTATCAAAGGGGTTGGTGCTCAGTGGAGCAATTTGTTTGGGTCTGGCAGTGGTTCACCGAGAGACCTCTCCTTGTTCAACGTTATGATCATGTTCGTGGTGGACATCATTCTCTACTCATTAATCACTTGGTATGTGAGCGAAGTGCACCCTGGAGAGTTTGGGTACAAGCAGTCATACCTCTTTTTTGCTTCAAAATCATACTGGTGTGGAGAAAAAGAAAAGTCCCAACAGAGTAAGTACTTCACCAAATTATTTTAGAAATGCACGAAATCAATTATTATTTTGCACACTTATTATCAACCTGATCTTGGGTCCAGTGTCGCAGAGTCTTTTGCCCAGTAAGATATCAAGTTATATTTTGCCAGCTTGAAAAAAAATAGCATATTGTGATACTTCCAGAGACGCTTTCGTTGTGCTTTCAAATGTCTTATTTGAGCATTTATTAATTCAATTTTTTATGTTCTTATTAAGTTGAAGCACCCGATGAGATAAACCAAGACAACTATGAGCGCCCTTTGACAGTAAAAAATGACGACAAGAGTGTTGGAATCATCATTCGCAATTTGAAGAAGACTTACCCTGGGCAGATTGGTCGCCCGCCTGTCCAAGCAGTTCGAGGCGTCTCCCTAGACATCTACAAAGGAGAAATCACTGCTCTCCTCGGCCACAATGGTGCTGGCAAAACAACCACCATGTCTATTTTAACAGGAATGATTGCTCCGTCAAGTGGCTCGGTTCAAATCCTGGGACACGATCTGAAGAAAGAGCTTTCGGACATTCGTCAGTCCTTAGGACTTTGCCCACAGCACAACTTGCTCTTTGGAGAACTTACTGTTCATCAGCACCTCGTTTTCTTTGCAATGGTAATTAAAATTGACTTTTTTTTAAAAAAAAATCTTATTCAACCATTTTTTACAGTTAAAGGGGAGCTCTAGGAAAGATGCCACAAATGAAGCCGAAGAGCTTTTGCAAACTGTAAGATTGGCTGATAAAAAGTTAAGCTACGTCAGTGAGTTGTCAGGTGGCATGAAAAGGAAACTTTCATTGGCTATAGCATTGATTGGAGGATCTAAAGTATATTAACCTAGAAATGTGTATTTCAATATTTGATATTTAATAATCCAATAGGTTGTGATGTTGGATGAGCCAACATCAGGTCTCGATCCCGAAGCAAGAAGAGAAATTTGGGACTTGCTGCTGGTAACTTTGTGCTTTGTTGTCTGCTGCGAATTACAATTTTTTATTTTTAAATATAGCAACTGAGAAAGGAAAGAACTATCTTGCTTAGCACTCACTTCATGGAAGAGGCAGATGTTTTGGGAGACACAATTGCCATCATGTCTCATGGAAAAGTGGAATGCTGTGGCTCTGCAATTTACCTGAAACGACTTTATGGTAGTTAAATCAAGTAATTTTAGCTTAGCTACTTTTTGCTAATCATGTTCTTTAAATAAGGTGCTGGCTATCATTTGCACATTCTCAAGAAAAACAACTGCAAGGAAGATGAGCTGGTGAAAACTGTCCAAGAGGCTTTGCCTGAAGCTACAGTGGAGCGATCATCACAAGACGAAGTGGACAAACCAAATCGAGTGGCTAAGGCTGGGCCTGTCACTTTCACCCTGCCAGCTAACAAAGTTGAGAAATTTGCAATTCTCTTTGATGCACTTGAAAAGTCTAAAAAGGATCTGGGAATTGCAAGCATGGGAGTTTCGGTCACAACGTTGGATGAAGTTTTTCTAAAGTGAGCTTTCATCAATTTAAAAATTTTGTGCTGAAAATTAATCTGAACAATGCAGGGTTGGAGAGTTATCTGCAAAAAAGTATGCCAGTGAAAACAACGACTACACAGACAAGGTTGATGCACAAGAGACGCCAACCCATAGTACTCAAAACTTGCAGAAAACAAAAGCGTCCGGATGTAGTTTGTTCGCAGAACAGATGCGAGCTTTATTAGAGAAGAAATTCATTGTCACTAAGAGACAACGGCTCTTCTTGCTTCTACAAGTATTTTTCTCACTTTATTTGCAAGATAATTATTAACATTTAATTTAGTTTTTGCTTCCCACACTGATGACCTTGGCTGCTGTTTGGTCAACCTATGCAGCCCTTTCAGTTGATGTTGATTCTGAACCATCGTTTCCAATCAACTTAAGTCAATATGGATCAAGATATAATCTCCGTGCCTTATACTCGGCAGGGAGCTCAGAAAAAGCTAGAAATTCGGCAAAGATTTTCTCGTCGCTTGTCCGGAATGAAGCTGAACCTGAGGAGGTATGGAATTCGATCTGTTAAATTAAAATTTTCAGTGAATATTTCAAATTTAAGGTTGTTGATAACATCATGAACCGCCTTATTCAAACTGGAACCGAGAACCTTGCTAACTTTCGCTCCAATTACATCGTTGCTGCCAGATTCAATGACACTACCGCAGGTCCATTGAATGTAGTTGGTCTCCATTCATATGACGCCTATCATTCAGCAGCAATATCGATGAACCTAATCTCCAATGCTCTGCTGAAATATCATGCATCTTATGCATATGAAATTGCAACCTGGAACCATCCTCTCCCTACTAATACAGAGGTGAATAAATATTATTATTTTGTCTCAGCGTGGTTAAATTTGTATTATTTTCGTAGGGTGACCACATAAACAAATACATAGCAATGTCAGCAGCAGTTGGAATTATATGGCTCTCTCTGGCTCATCTGGGCTGGATATTTGCCACAGCAGTGAATCTTGTGCTCCCCTTGCAAGAGAGAACCTTGGGAGCAAGGCAGCTGCAGGTAAATTTGTAACTTCTTTGGCAAATAAAATCCTAAGCATCTCAAAACAGTTCATGGCAGGCTGCCCGCTATATTTGATCTGGCTGAGCTACTTCTTGGTAGACGTGTTGGTGACCACTCTTGTGGCTGTTGTAGTTCTTGTTGTCATCTTTCCCTTCGATACTCAGCATATTTTCACAGCTGGCACAGAAGGAGGCAAGTTTCTAATTTACAAACCTCTAACAACATTCCTTATTGCTTTTTTATTTAGGAGTATTATTTGTGGTATTTTTCTTGTACGGAATTTCGGGCACCTTGTTTGCCTATTTCATCAGTTTCTTGAAGGACAACGTTCCAGCAGCTTTTGGATTCATCATATTCATCACCGTTTTCTTTGGTAAATTTAACTGAGATGCATATTATAAATGATTTTTTAAATTCTCAATTTTAGGTGGAATTATAAACATAATCATCTACACTTTGGAACTCTTCCCAAATTGGGAAAATTGGGGCACTGCATCCAGAATAATTGCTGGTCTTTTGATGCCTCATTCAGCACTCATTTCAAGTCTGACTCACTTCTCTGGAACTGCGGTTTACAACTCGATGTGCAGGACGATTCCACCATCAGTCAAAGAAGTCGTTTGCAGCCAGAGAGAAAACCAACTTGCTATGTGTTGCGGTAATAATATTATTCATTTTTATTGTATATTGAACTTACCAATTAATTGACAATTTTAGAGAATATTTGCAAACCTCTGGGTGTGTGTTTTGAGAAGAAACCCTACTTTTGGTCATCATCTGATAAAAAGGAGGACGATTGGACAAACAATCACGGAGCTATTGGCCAAGAGCTGATCTACTTTGCAGTTGGCTCTGTTTTTTGGGTCTGTGTTGTTTTGTTGCTGGATTCTGGGTTACTGGGCAGGATTTCGGAGCGCGTTCTCAGCTTTTTAGATCAGAAACTACATCCAAGGGATGAAATAGACAGTCCTGGTCAAGACGAAGACGTAGCTGAGGAGATGAAAGAAGCTGAGAAATGCCTCTGTAACAATGGTTCGAAAATATACAAAAAATTTCTGCCTGCACTAACAAAATTTAATACAGGCATGGAAAATATTGAGCAGAATGTTGGAGATGTTACCGACAGTGGTGACTCAACATGTTACAAGCAGCAGAAACCCATCCTGGCAGTTTCAAGCTTGCGAAAGCAATACGGAGTGCCTGTGCGAAAGGGTCGTTTTCCTGCAGTGCGCAGTGTCAGTTTTAGAGTGGATAGAGGTGAATGCTTTGGACTGTTGGGTGTAAACGGAGCTGGAAAATCCACTACATTCCGAATGTTGACTGGATCTGCTCCTCCGACTGAGGGGGACGCCTTGCTCGGTGGCAGTCGCTTGAAAATGAACCGACGGAATTTCTTGAGTGGCTTAGGTTACTGCCCTCAGTTCGACGCCCATCTGGGCATGATGACAGGAAGGGAAACTCTGCAGCTCTATGCTCGATTGAGAGGAGTGCCTCAAGGTCGAGTTGATTCAGGCAAGAACTGAGTTTGAAATTTTTGAACAGAAAACTTATATATTCATAATTACTGCAGATGTCCAGGGATGGTTGGAGGCCCTAGGCTTGAATGAATACGCCAACCGTCCGACCGCTTCTTACAGCGGAGGAAACCAACGCAAACTGAGTGCAGCTGTTGCATTGATTGGAGAGCCTCCAGTTGCTTTGCTGGACGAGCCAACAAGTGGGGTTGATCCCATTGCGAGACGGCAGCTGTGGCAGGTTTTGGATTCGTGCCAAAAAGCTGGCCAATCAATTGTTTTCACATCACATAGGTAATGTTTTTTTTAACAACATTATTATATATTTTTTTATTATTATTATTTTTTTTTATTTTAGCATGGACGAGTGCGAAGCACTTTGCTCTCGACTTGGGATCATGGTAGCAGGAAAACTGGTGTGTGTGGGTCCAATCGGCCGGCTGAAGGACAAGTACGGCCAGGGTTACACTTTGATGGTCAAACTGAAAAGTTTGTCCTGGGAGAGTGATCCAATAGTGAGAGAGGAGGCTGGGAAGCAGCTGTCCGATCTAAAAGATGATCTGGAGAACAAATTCAGACCTTGCGATTTAGTTGATGAACACCAGGTAATTTTTATTAACATTTAGAATCTGAAATTGAAATTTCAAAACATATATATGTAGGGCTTGCTACACTACCAAATAAAGGAGAATGGTCGCAAGTGGAGTGAACTGTTCAACAACATGGAAACTTTGAAAAAGTCACATTCTATTCTTGAAGACTACACCCTGAGTGAAACTACCTTGGAGCAAGTGTTTCTCTCATTTGCCCAGCACGGAGACCAAGCGAAGCTTGTCTCGCGTTCACGAAGTGAATCTATCGAGACAACCCATGTTTAAAATCTCATACACTTAAAAAACCCACATACATACACATTGTGCACAGCTTCCTAATCCTAAGTGCCTTGACAAGGTCACTCTTAATCTTTAAATTAGCATTTTAGTAATTTATTAATAAGCGCAACAAGAGCATTCTGATTTAAATATTTGGTAACAGCTTGTAAACTGAACCCGAGGATATTATCCCTTCAACCTTCGACTGAGATGAAGGTAGAGTTGAAGGGTAGAATTTATTATTTAGATTATACTTTTGATAAAATTGTGCATATTTGAAATTGGTAACAAATTCTACCAAAATAAAAATGTACTTGTTTTGCACGTCTGCCCTAAAAATCTCATCTTTTAATGTATCCAAATTTTGCTATTCGATTCAACTGATGTTTTTTTATGAAAATAAATAACTTGCAAGAGATTACTTTAGTGCAACTCATTTAATTAAATATCCACTATGAAGACCAAAATCGATTTAATTTTAATAAAATTTTCAAAAAATAATTGAATGTATTTATTTTGTTTTAAAATAAAAATTGTGAGGTTTAAAAGTTAGAAACACTGAGAAATTGTATCAAAACCTGCAAATAAATAAAACAATGGTTCATCCATAAGCGTTTAAAGTTGATGCCATTCTCCCTCTCTCAATCCAAATTACAGTCTGTAAATTATAGCCTTCTGACTTGACATGCCTTTGACAAGAAAACTGCTGCAATTATCTCCCTTTATATCTATCGCTTGCTCTCCGCGGGTTAATTTCTCGTCCTCTCCCTCGCCGTGGCGCCCACCACAATATCCAGCTCATGGCGTATTCCATTCTGTTTGGCTCCAGCTTGGCTCTTTAGAATTTTAAACTTGAGAAAGTCGCAGCATTTGTTTTCAGGCAGTGTATATCGTGTGTCAGATATTCTAATTATTCCAGTCAATCAAAATTTATAGTTCAATCCTAATCCCCAGCATTTCGAAAATAATATTAAAATATTTATGATAAATTTAGCCTATAAGCAATATTTATAAAGGAAAAAGATCAATTTTGTATGGGATGAAAAGAGATTTGATTTTAATTTTGCCAATGAGTTATTTATTTAAATAGAAGTGTGGAATTACTTATATTTGAAACAGGCATGAGTAGCCTAATTGTTAAAATTTGAAAGAGAAGTTTGCGCATTTTTCATGTTCATTTCCCTTTATAATTAGTGTTTACATTGATTCCCGTAAATTTTGTAATACCCCCGTTCTTGCTCAACCTCATCTAAATTTTGTATCATTTCTATTATTGCTAATCTCTTGAGAATATATTTAATATATTTTAAGGTATAAATGCAAAAATGATTCAACAACTAAATTTATTTGTAATGTACGTATAAGATTTTGTTTGTCGAATGAGAAATATATTGATTTTTTTTATATTGCGTATGTACGTAATTCCTAATAAGTTATTATTTTGAATGCAACTAAAATATATTTTTTAGGTGTTCTTTTCTTAAATTCATTGATGCCTGCCGATCTGCCACCAACGATTGTTTGTTATGCTATTTTAAAGAACCAAGACTGATTTAATTAAAAATAGGAATATATATTTTTTATGTAAGAAAAAAGGCGGCTGATCACGACTTTTGCTGGCAGGACAAGTGTATGTTTTATTCCTTGGCATCGGATCTATGTCTTTAATTTCCTCCATACGTATGAAACACTCATTATTCCAGGATCGAGCCAGCAAATTACCTCTGCATAGGTGTATAATTTGATTGAGCGCAGATTGTTGCTTGTCAAATCACTTTGAGTGACAGCTCCCGGAGGTAATTGCCAGGTACAGGCCGAGACGAAAAGCGGCAAACGCTCTTTCTCTCTTCTTTTTCTATACCGCGCGCGGCACCGACTCTGCTCCGCGCACTTTTTGAGTACTATTTTCAGAAATCGAACTTTACCAGCAGATTCGAATTACACGACGCGCTCTCTGCACCTTTAATTAGTGGCAGGTGCTTGTTTTGGTCTAAAAAAGAAGCGAATAGTGGGAAAACAAAAACAACAAAAATGTAGTGCAGTGACCCTTAAAAGAACCTTTCTGTCTGGGATATTATTCCTGACGAGGATTCTATCTTCACTTCCTGTGAAGTTTTCAAATTTGTAAGGGATACATGTTTATAAAAAATATTTTTCTCACAGAATGGCGAGATCTCGATATAGATATAGGTGTTTTAAATGAGAACCAGCTACCTTTTTATTTCTTCAATTCAATTCAAAGTCAACTTTCCATCCCTAAAATGCCACAAATTAAAAAAAAAAAATTAAAAAAAAAACAGGGTTCATTACATTATTCAAAATAGATTCCATGAGTGGTTTTTTTTTAAGATGAAGAAAAATGTTTAGAGTTTGTCTTCGTTATTTCATCAAAAACATTAATGACAAGTCGGACAAATAAACTTTTTTCAAATCTAAAAAATGAAAAATAATCTCTATCCTTCTGTTTAATATGAAGATTACTAGATTGCTGCAAACACCTAAATTTATGATAATTCCGATTTTTCAAATAATTAAATCTGTCAGGTGTAATTATAATTATTTGAAAAATCTACGTTCAAACAAAATTTCAAGTTTTATTTTTGCATAAAATTTTAAAAGCATATCTAGTCATAAACTGATATAGAAATGTATATATTATTTTAGAAGCGATGAATAAGAAGTTTGATTTGATATACCCATATCATGTTAGATGAATTTGATTTGCGTGTTTCCTTGCTCTCGATCTGATATGCAATGTAAAATATAACTTTGCCAAGATGAGCTTCAACATGGATTGCAATGCAAACCCAGGTTTGGCGTGAAAAGCACGAAAGCTCATTTCGCCACCCGTGCGCTCAATTGCGCATTGAATTGAATCAAAAGCGCGCACTCGCAATTGATTTACAATTTTTTGGATTGCACGTAGTTTTAATTCGCACGCCCCTCAATATAAAAGAACAGCAGTCAGGAGAAATTCTTTCCCATCGTTCACACGGATCATCTTTTTATTTCCCGCGCAAATCAGTCTGTCACGACTTTTATATCAAATCTTAAGCGAACACAGACTCTCTTTTTATACAATGATAATATCGATCATTTCCCCATCCGCCGCGGCACATATGAATAATTTTATTGCTCACACGTACCCTAAAAAGGGTAAAGTTTTCTCAAGCTAAAGCTGCTGCCGCTCGATGTGAGTTTTTATTGAAATTTAATAACTCCGGTCGCGAGAGTCTCTCTTTCTCGCTCTCTCTATAAGTAAACGTTGTGCATCACATACATATATACCGCGGATGTGATACGCGCTTATATATCATAAAATATTTCCATACTTTTTATGGCACCCTATAAAGTGATATTCGCGGCGAGGGATTATTCTTTATACTGAAATAATATATAAAACCGAAGCGGTGCGCCGCTGGCCATTTTTTTATACTGCTCCGCGCGTTCCCAGAAGGCGAGGGTCAATTTCGCCCTTGGGGTGCCAAATTTGGAATAGGACGTTTATTAGCGCCAAGACCATCATCCCCTGCATGCACACGGAGAAAAAAAGGAGAGAGAATAAGATATAATCAACTTCTTGGGAAAACATAACTGGAAATTGAGCTATGAGAGTTTATCCTCATATAAATTGAAATAATTTTATAGAAATGCAAAAGATTTTTGATTTAATTTAGGAAATAGTGCACTTGAAGAGACATTTAATTCAATTAAGGAGAAACCGCGGTCTTGTCATCTTGTTAATCTGATAAGATTTTATATCTATTATTTCAAATAAAATTTTAATTATTTTAAATACAAAAAATTTTCTCCACAATCATTTGATTTCAAGATTCCAATGCAATAATTATAAAAAAAATATTATGTGATTTTGTAGAATGTATTTCACAATACTCTTTTCGGGGAGTATAGATCTTCTCAATAGAACTTTTAGTAAACCTTTCGTTAAGAATTTTCCTGGTTTTTCCGTTTTTCTCATTAACGCATCAGCATCTTTTTATTGCTTCATCTTATACTTAACTTGAAGAAGAGAAGAGGAAAAGGTACTAAAAAATTACATGAATGAATGTTTTTGCTTGCAGCAACTCATCAAATCAAATTAATGGTACACTTTTAAATCCATCAAATATCAGTTTCTTCAGTAAAATACGGAAAAATACAAAGCGTTTAAAAATAGAGATACATAAAAAATAGAATTAATTTTCAATTTACAGACCAAAAAAGCTACCATAAGAAACTGTGAGGATTAACATTAATTTACCGCATACAAGTCCTCCCCAAAAGTTCGGATGTAAGGAAAATAATTAATTTTATAGTTAATTGTAAATTTTTTTGTTTCAGAGTTTAATTGATATAGGGTGAAGAAGGAAAACAATAGTTTGCATTTTTATCTTCTTATTTGCAAGTTTAATTTTACGAATGTTCTTATTATTTATTATTTTATTTTTAGTTTTTTTTCCTTCAAAAATATTAAAAAAAAAAAACACTCTTTTTTTAATCTTCGCTAATATAAGCAGAATACTAAAAATCGTTTTTTTCTAGAGAAACCACACATATGACACATTATTTTAAATTTCTCAAGACTAGCATTCTATTTTTACATTCTACAAGGAATTCACAGCAATCATTATCCAATTTAAACATCAAGCAGGAAAATGCGCACCAGAGAGCACGACAAGTTTTGCCGGTTCTCTTCCAAAAACGTGATTCCAATTTCCGAGACTTGTGTAGCGCTGACTAATTCACCAGAAGGAATTTCTTTTCGGCTCTTCTCTTTTTATGTTTTTGATATTTTTAATACACTCTATTAATTCCCAATACATTATTTCTCTAACTCTTAATGAAAAATGCCCGTCGAATTTCGGGTTATGAGCAGCGCAGCTTTGGTCCGGCATCATAGTCATAAATATTTTTGTGTTCGCCATATAATGATAGGGTTCGGATCGAAAGACCAGTTGCATATTACAAGACACGAAGGGCACACAAAAAAACTCTTGGAAAGTGTGTGTGTGGGAATGTTTTTATGATGGCCGCCACCGAATTCATGATTTCCTTCTGCAGACCGAGTGAGAGAGAGAAGGAGATTTAGGAATAAAATATTTAAACGCTGAGCCTCAATATAAGATAATGTGGCGAGCAACAATTATGGCCAATCTAGCGCCATAATTTTGATCGATTTTTGCATAAAGCGGGGAGAATCCATTATTTAATTTTGGGATACATTTGGACTGCTTTTATGGTTCTGAGTGCTCTTGCTGTGTGATCGCCTCGCGTAAAAATGAGTGCGTTTAATTGCCACCACTATACGGTGTGTGCGTGAGAGTTTGGACTCTGCAGACGGACGATGAATGAGTGAATTTTAACAATCAACAGAGAGAACAAGAGTTTGTATGTGTGTGACTAGTTAATTACAATGAT